TTTGTGTGTGTACAATGGACTAGTACAAACTTCTGTCGAAATTTCTTTCTATTATAGATACAAGCATTCTGTACATAATTTATGATGTCCTGACAAATGTGCTTTAACACGCACAATGTCTTTGCTTATTTGCTATTTATTTATTTTATATGAATTAATATATATTTTATTTATGTTCCTACGTGGCCGCAAAAAACTTGAACTCCAATCATTTATACTTTCAGTTTTGTCTGTCTGTGCAAGTTTAATTGATTAGCATTTCACACATAATTTGATATTTTATTCTATTTATACTAAATAAATAGTAATATTTGTGTTTATGGCAGCAATGTGCTATAAAAATATAGATATGTATATTTAAAATACATATTTATTTTTAGGTAAGTGAATAGTTATTATTATGAATAAAAGGTGTTGTTTTGCTATCTTGCATAAAGATATTTTCATTAGTTTATTTAAAACTTAAATAATATAAAACAATTTTAAATTATAATTAAATTAAATTTTTATATATAATAAAAATTATATAAATTCTTGAAATTGTTTAAATTTTAATTTAAAAATAGCGATACCTAGCAAAACGTTATCGTAATTCATCTTCAGACTGTCTTCAGAAATCTTCAGACTGGTATGTAATTGCCTTATCTACAATAATAAGTTTTGCTACGTCTTTATTCCTTGCGACAAAAATAGCTGCTTAACTTAGCAAATAGTGATTCTGTTTCTTTTTTTGTTTGATCACCCCATTCTTCTTTTAACGTTACTAAAACCAATAAGGTGATGAAATACTTCCTATGGTCAGATCAGCATATTTATCTCAGCTGATCAATTGTTTTACAGTTGTCAACACATATTTATAGTTAATATCAACATCAACATATGTACTGATACCAGAGACATGCAAAACCAATTACATTACAAATTCCATTACAATTAAAGAATAATTGTTATTTGGATATTACATAGATGCAAAATTACAATTGTAATTGGATTTAAAAAAAACATAATTTTAAATTACAAGTAATTGGAAAACTTGTTGACTGAATAATTATAGATAACGTTTATTCCAGTAAGTAATCTTCAGTAAGTTAAAATGTTTCCACGTAAATCTTGTAATAATCGACAGTTTTGAACAATATTTTAGAATGACATTTTTCACGTCAGATATTTAGGGAATATTGTAAGTGAATGTTTCAATGAATTGCGGAGTAAGCAATTCCTTTAAATGAAAAAAATGTCGCAGACATTCAGGGGATGTAAAAACTATATTATCATGAGATAAAATTGATAAAACTTATCTAAGTAAGATCATCCTATCAGTCCTTAGTAGTACAACTGAGATTTTTCCAACCCAAATTTAGACAATTTTCATAACTTATAGCTTAGGGAAATATATTTTATGTAAAATAAACACGAACTATAACAGGAAAACAACACCAAAAGTATTTTAAGCAAATTAAATTTAATAGTAATCAAAAATTCAAAATTTCCATCCGAGAACAGAACGAGATCCGCTGAATTTATATTAATACATTAACTCCTAACAACTTTAAGTTGACAACCTTTAGTACACAGTATTTGTTCTATATATACTTTATATTAAAAAAATAATGCTGGAGTAAAGCATTTCATTTATTTGCAACTCATTTTTCGTTCTGAAATAATAATTAAATTACTATTACTTCTATGTATTAATTTTGAAATTCATTTAAAATTATTTTATGTTGACTTTTATAAAATTTTATCATTAAAGTTTATTTCTTTACACCTTTAGCTTCATAAATATCTTAAATTGTTTAATCATTTTCAAATAAAGCTTTAATCATTTCAAATAAGCTATATACATAATTTCTCGATTTACTTGAATTAAATACGTTATAAATTGTAGTATGGGATTATCCTATTAAATTAATATTTTGAAAAATCCATGAATACAAATCAAAATAATTAGAGTGTAATTCGTCTCACATGCATCATAGAAAAAAACCATCTTCTGGTTGCTTCAATTCTACCACTAGATAAATGGTAAATGATTGTGTGTACTATGAGAACTCAGTTTTATTTTAGTTAACAGTGGTAAATTTAACTTCTTATTGTATCGTATATGCAAATATTTACTACAATAAGTCATCTAAAGAAAGCCCTTGACAATACATTGCATAAGAGACACAATAATGAAACAGTTTTCCGTATCTCTGTAAAGTTTTAAAAACTTTTTGACCATGAAATAAAAACTCAAAGATATTTTGACACTAACAAAATACACAAACAAAAAAAAAAAGAAGAACGGCTTGACATTGTAACTGCTTAATTACACAAGAAATGATTTAGAAATATATATGCATGCATTTGAGAAAAAAAGTACAGAAACACTTTAAGAATATACTTTTTTGAAAATAAAAAATCAATAAAAAGTCAATAAAAACTATTAAGTAAAATTTTTTTCTTTTAATAAAATAAAAAAATAAAATTCAGTAAGAGGATATTTTGCCATTATCTCAAACTCACTATCAACAGTTTGCAATATAAATCATTTTGAGCACGTGTATCTTTATTGTTTACGAAAAATATAGCAAAACACAAACTATAAAAATGGTATAGCTCACTCTGAGAACAGTAGAGATTCTAAATGCGCATGGATTACATTTTCGATGTTTAATTATTGGTACTTAACATAGTACTGTTAATATATTTTAACATAGTACTCTTAGTGTATCTAAACGTAGTACTGTTAGTGTATCTAAACATAGTGCTGTTAACTGTTTGGTGCCTATATAAAGTTAAGGAAAGCGTTCAGTTTGTTAATTGTAATTTAAAAACTAATAAAATTCGTACAAAAATATAAAATTTAATGTTACATTATCCAATATATACTTATATATTGGTATAAATATATACCAATATATTTATTTATTTGTGTGAAAATAGCTTTACAACCAAATTTTTGAAATTTATTTTATTTTTAAGTTTTGAACCAAAATAACTCTTTTTTTATTATAGCTTTTTTATCCTCGTAAACAATAATATTCAGATAAAAATAATATATGCTTGTATTAAAATATGGAATAGTCACTTATATTGCAACCATTCCTAAGTCTGTGAATGAGTACATTAACCACATATAATTGGTATGTCATGGTCATGCACTAAATGTAATAGTTACTTGTGTGAACTACATCTGCAAAAATTGATTAAAAACAAATTTATGTATGGAAAGTTTAATCCGTCACACTTTTTGAAAGTCTTAAAAATAACTAGTTGTATGCGTTGCGGTGAGACCGCTATAAAACCCTCTCTAAATGTTTGCAAAAATATTTTATAAATAAAATGGAACCATAAGATAAGATACTTCTCTACATATTTATGTGTGGAAAATATTAGCAAAAGTGCAAATCTTCAAATAAAATTTAGCTGATTAATTTTTGTGTTTGCTTAGAAATGTACTAACTCATCGACTTAATCGTATTCTTTATAATTAGTTAACAGTTTTCAGTTCAACATTTTTAAAACACATGATATATTAAATAATATTATCTATTATATTATCTATATATATTATTATATGTATATATTATTTTTATCAATACATATCTATACAGTGAAACCTTTAAAGTACAGAATAGAATATAGTTTAAAATTTATTAGTTCGTTATAGTGGTAGGTTAGCAGAAATCCTTTCACTTCCAATAAACAGTAATTATTCGCTCTTTCAATAATATCATCCTAGCAAGAAAACCAAAGGAGAAAAATTAGATCCTTTCTGTAATTGTTAGATAATTTAATGAGTTCGTAAGATCTGGGGTTGTTATATGATGACCAAGATGATCAGAAGTTACACATGCCATTTGAAAGCAAATTATTTTTAAAGAATCTAAACAACGATCATACGATTATGAAATTATTTTTTAGTATTTTTTTAGTTTATATCGGCAGTTTTTGTACTTACTGATTATTACTTAATATTTCATTTAAATAAATATTAAATATATCAGATTATTTAGATTGCATAAAAATTAATGATATCATACCAATATTAAACTAAATCCATAAAATATTTAAAAATAACATAATGCTTATTTCACGCACTTCTGTTAATTTCCATAGCTGTCATTCTTCACATAAACTGTTATTAACATAATTCTTTTAATAAAAGTATCTTTATTCTACAATCTTCATATCTTTCCTTTTTTTATAGCTTTTACTGTTAAATACGGTGAAAAACAGTGAAAATATAATTTCAAATTGCAGTGCAATTTCAGTACGTCGGATATCTTTCAACATTACGGTTGCAAAAACAAAATCAACGGACTTAGTGTAGACGTTTAATCGTCAAGTAGTACACAAGTATCTTTAAGTGTGTGAAAACACTAAGAGCAGCCGCATGCAGATACTTTAAAAAAATAAACAAAATTCCAAAAAAAAATTATTTAAATAATATTTGGAAAAGTGAAGTAAAGTTGAGTTTGTTTTTAAAATTTCATAACGAAAAGTGCGCGATAACTAAACAAACGGCTTGAAATAATAATAATAGTTATTATAAGTGGCAATTAAAAAAAAATTTCCTGATACAAAAATAAAATACATATTGTATTTTTGAATTGAAAACAAATCTATTTGTGTAAATAAACAAAAACCAATTTTCAATTAATAAAGTGTATACATTTAAAAAAATTTTTTATTAAATAAAAATTTTCAAAAATAGCATATTCAAAATATTACTAAATCCTAACAAAATAAATAAATATAAAATGTACCTTTATCACTATTAAACGTTAATATATTTATGTTTTAAATAAAAATACCATAATAAATTTGAATGATATCTCAAAAAAATATTTTAAAATTAAATCGGTGTTTCTACCTGGAAAATATATGAACATATTGAAATTAAAGAATTTTTTATTTCTGAAAATAAAAAATATTTATTAAAACAACATACAATTATTTTTATTATTTCAACAAAATTTACTTGTGGTTTAAAACATTTCTACAATTGATTGTTTTAAGCATTTTCTTTAAATTTATGGTTGCTTTGTATGCTGAAATGAATCCCAAGTAAACAATTTTATTTTTGTTTTCCCAGCAATTTTTAAACATTTATTCTATTTGGAATCATAATTATAAACAAAGTGTAGGTTTATATATCAAAATGATTTTTTTATTTGAATTTAATAATGTGTGAAAAAAAGATTTAGAAATATTAAGGGAAATATTTTCAAAATTAAATATTAAAAACATCCAAATGCGGCATAAATACGCGAAATAATTCCTTGAACTAAGAAAGTGAGCAGCAATTCAAACTTTCAGTTATTATAGAAAGATTTTTCTATATTATTCCAAAAAAAAAAACAACAAAACTCTTTAAACTTTAACACAATTTTATTGTCAAGAACATTTTATGGAAGCTAATTTATAGGTTCCTGTTATATTTTTGGCCTAATATATTTTAGACTTGTATTGAGGCGTGGTAAAATAATTATATTGAAAAGTAAAGTTAACAAAGATAATATTCAACTTTTCATTAAAAATTTTGTAAAATTGATATTAATTATTAAATGTTAAATTATTTTTCACTACGTATATTCGTCATACACAAATACATATGTTTAAAAAAATATTGATGTGTATTTTTGCTTACTTCCGATCTAAGATACTAAGAAAGAAATCGTGTAGGATAGGTGTGCAATTTCAATATTTATTGAGATATATAAGATATTTCAAACACCTTTACCCAAAAAAAGTTACAGTGAAAGAACCATCAATACACTTATCTTAAAGGTGACTAATTCAAACAGCTTAAGTTGTGTATCAATTTTACCTTCATCAAAAATTATTTATTTATAAGAAATATATTCTAGTATTGGTTTCGGTAATAATAAAGTTTTAAAGTAGACTATTTTATTTATTTTATTAATTAAATAATTGAATTATTTTTGCAGAAGTTGTGGATTATATTATTTATTATTAAACAAACAATGTTTGCTATAGATAACATTCTATCATCCACCGTTTTCTTATAATAATCTTTTCAGCTTATTTTAACTAAAATTTTTCGAAACCTTTTTATTAAATACACTACTTTCTATTAAGGTAAATAATCACTGCTGTCATATTAACTTTAATAACAAATTTGCTTTATAAAATCTAGTTCGTGTAAACTCATACTTACTAGGAAATAATACAATATTTGTAACAAAAATAAATTTTAGCTAAAATCGATGTTATATTTCATTTTTGTATACTAATTTATTTCATCTAATCGAAACTTCAAGTAAATTAAATTCCTAAAACATTTGCCCTAATTCAGTTAAGATTTAATGGGTCTTTTAATTTACTTTTAAATTTAGTTTACTAGTTATTTACATAAATTCAGAATGTCGTTTATTGAGTTGAAAGATTTTTAGTAATAAATTGTATTAACTAACAGAATATAAACATAACAGAGAATATTCAAAATGTTCAAAATGAAGTTGAAGCTCTGGTAAATTTGAAATAAATAAAAAAATATAAAGAGTCGAATTCAATAAATAAAGTTAACAAATATTAAACCACTATTAAAAATAATTATTTTTAAAATTTAATAATTGTATCTTGACAAGTACTTGGAATTTCTCATAAAATTCTATTTAAAGTTTTTATACTTCAGCATTACTTCTTATTTCTTCTTATTACTTGCAAAAAAAAGTTTTTACAAACAGGTAGACTGGCAATATAGGATCATAAATAATTTTCACCAATTATTAAGTAGCTAAAACAAGTGGAAGCAGGTATCCCTTTTATATCTGGAAAAACATAAGCCAGAACGCCATTGAATGTTAAGTTGAATGTATTGCATTAAGATATAAATATATTAATATATAGATATGGCACATATTATTAAGTATTGTGGGAAGAATTAATAAAAAAAATATAAGCTAATTTTAATTAATTTTTAATTAATTATTGCTTTAATTATATTAATTTTTTTTAAAACAGTAATTTTCTTATCATTTCTTTTTTCCATAGAGTATTTATGTAGTAATCTGATAGAAGTCTTTTCAAGACCTTTAATGCATTTTCAACATATTCATTAGTTTTCAAATCAAAACTATAGTTATTTTGCTGATATTTCAATTTTATTAAGCATTGTAATTTGTCTTTAATTGTATACAAGCTAACTAAGTGCATAGTTTCATCAGTTAATATAAAGAGTTTTCTAAACAAAGAAAGATATAATTAGAATATTTAGAAAATTAGCTAATTCTGTTCTGAGATGCTTATAAAATTCGCTAATGGAAATATACTTAAACTTTCAAATATGCAAATGACATTTACGAAATGTAGTGTATATTTTCTTAAAATAAAAATTAGAAAACATATATAGCAATTAAAATTAATTAACTATATACTTACTAAAAACAATGAAAACCTTAAAAAGATGTTAATATTGAACTTGAGCTAGATATTAAAGTAAATACTTATTTTATTGTCAACTCGCTATAAGTATATTAAGTATATAAAATAACTGAAATGTTATAAGATGCCTCGTCTATAAAAATATATGGACTACTTACACAAGAAAGCCTCTTCAATAAAAACATAACACTATTAAATGATAGTTTGATAATATATCTTATCTGATTATTTTCAAGTTTGCCTTGTAGTACAGAATAAAAAAAAAAAATGTAGCAATTTACGTAAAATCTTCATACCTAACTATAATTATAAGTTCGAATAATAAGTTCAAAATAAAAAAAGTCAAATTAAGTTAAAGTATATTACTTAATTTATGGCCCAATGTTCCACTGGGAATGTAATGGAATGAAGAAGAAGATATTACTTAATTTTTGCAGAAATTTGTAAATAAACAAATTTGTAAATATATGTAAATATTATTTACATATTTTTTTATTATGTTGAATTATTATTACTCTATGTTGCTCCAACTTCATATTTTTGCCAAATTTTTCAAAATTTTTATAATAATTTTTATAACTTTCGCAGTTATGGACAACTTTGAATCCTTTTATTAGAGATTTATTTCATATTACATGAATTTAAATTATTATTTAATCCAAATATAATTTTTCATTTTTCGTTTTTATTTAATAAATCCTTTCATAAGAGTTGTTCAGACTATTTTTATGTGCATTTATAGCACATAGTTAAATAAGTATACCTAATTCTACTCAGATATATAACTTTATAGATAAATCTTATTAACGAAACAGATATTAAGAACAGAAAGTTGTTCAAGTTAATGAACCAAAATAAACGATAACAAAAAAAGTTTCAATAAAAAATGATGAATTACTAAAAACGCGATCATATGTTTTTACTTTTAATTACGCGGTACATAAATTTTTAATTAAAATTGACTGATAAGAGATTGGGAACTTCGCTGCAGTTATCACAGATAACTTAATAATAACTTTATTAATATTAACAGAAATTTTCAAACGAATATTAAATAACAAATGTAATTATATAAAATAACAGAAACTGTTTACACAACACTTTATTAAGAAAAGATACGATATATTTTAGATATTAAAGATATGGAGCACTCGGATAAAAAACGTATTAACTTAAAGTAGAATATAAATTTCTAGCTGCAAGTAAATGTCATGTCTCAAATATGATTTACTAATATATTTTTCCAAAAGAAAACTCAAACAGTTGGCGTGATCGATGACTCACTAACAGCAGAAGCTTTTGAGAAATATTTTCGCTTCCAGTATTCAAATAGCGAAGTTAATGTCACAATAATCCTCGACGATGCAGTGACGCGGTGATTAGTTCCCAACCCTTTTTAAAAATAACTAGGGAAGCAAAGATATTCTTGCACAGAGTTATAACCATAGACCTAAAAGAAGTGCCAATAAATTAAACATTTTAAACAAAAAGTATTATCGTTACAAAAATAATAATATATGTAAATTGTTGATATTGACACAGAGACCATAGTTACTTTACAAAAACAAAACCTACATAATAGTGACATTCAGACATAGCTTTATAACTTAATAACTATGTATTCGGTTAGTCTGAAAACTCTTTTTTAGTAAAGTCGTAAAATAGAAACCTTATTACAACTGATTTTATGTCGATTTGGCTTCTCACACACAATAATTTGGTGTTACACCAAGCTAACCAACCTACCTACCCTAAACTAACCTAACTTAACGTAACCTAACCTAACATAACCTAACCTATTCTAACCTAACCTTACATAACCTAACCTAATCTACACTTATAGTACGTTTCATAGGAAAAAATTAAGATAAAATTAAGATAAATTCATTATCATAAAAGTAAAACGCTATTTTATTTAATTATTTATTTCTTGCTATACTTTTTCACTCATTATTTTGTTCCCTTCAAAATTAAAAATTCAACTTTAATTTTAAAATTTAATTATTTTGTGTAATAACATTAACAAGAACCAGTAGATATTTTATCGAACACTGAAAAAAGTTGATACCTTCGGAACTTTATAACATTGTAACTCAAAAAGGTCGTAATTTTACAAAAACAAATATATACAAAATTTTACGATTTTTCTGAGTTACGACTTTAACGAATATGCTAAATACCTCCAATAAAAATATTATCAGTTTACGAACGTAGAACTTGGACTGCGCTCCAATGAAATAAAATCCATAGGTAAATTATACCTAAATGTGTAACCTACATCTTTTAAGCTGAGATAAAATTAATTTCATTATTAAACGAAATAAAATTAAAAGAAATGAAAAAAAATAAAAATATGTGGTATGGTAAAATAAAGTAAATTAAAAAATACAAAAAATGGCTTTAATAAAAAGCGAACAATTAAATGGTAATTTAAATAAAATAAAATAAAATTTTGACGAAAAATAAATACAAAAAAAAATATTATTGTTATTATTAATTATTTTATAAATGAAATAAAATAACTACAAAAAAAATGAAATGAGAAAATTCAAACAATTTCATAATTATTCCTAATCCATACTGTAAACTTCATATTCTATGCAAATTCATTACCATAAATATTTTATTAACAAGTTTTTAACCAAAAAATTTTTTGTGCTTTATATAAATATTATCTTGACTAAGAATCTTATGACACTAATTACAATTCCATTTTACATTAACAATAATAGCCAC